GCTAATCCCTGTTGCAGATGCCTGCTCAGCACATTTATTTCGTTCATGCTTACAGAGCCAACCAGTGATTTATACTGAAACTATGCTGATCAGACCTTAGTTACACTTTCTGGGATTGAGTATATAATAAAGGCCAGTATGTTCAAGCACTCAGTCATAATGATTTTGAGTTTGTATTAGCACAATTAGCATAACCAGTCAGTTTCGTCATGCCTGGAATAAAATTCCTGTTTGGAAATAGATGTGGCAGATTACTTCCACAATGTAGTAAACAAATCGCAAGTCCAAACTCGAAGATCAAGGAGCAGAAAGAAATGTTGAAATCTTGATTTGCAGGTTCTATGTTATGGATCCCAATACATGTAAAAAGTCAGAAATTCTGCACACTAGCCAATGGATGAGGTAGCAAATTTGTTTTTTTTTTTCTTTCTCCCCAATTCAAGAACACCAATTGCTTTTATTGCGGAACAATTTTTTCATTGGTTGACAGGTAGAAGATGACACACAATATTAGCATATCTGAAAGACATGGCAACACCTGCAACTGACTTGTTTCTTATTTTGGATATTCTGTCTTCGGCATATCATGCAGAACATGTACCCTTTTACTTGATAAGTAACTTTATTTTCATCACATTTCCTGATGTAGAATACTGTTGCTTAGTCACTTGGTTTGATGAGGTAATATGCTACAGTACCAGCACAATCAGCAATGGCATTTGAATGGTATTGTCTACCCAAATTCAGTGACAAGGTTTGAGTCAATCATTGTCTTTGGCACTTCTCAATGCTCCCATCTTCTGATGCTGATTTTATGAAGAAGTCACTTTTTTTTTACCATGGTGTGATTCAAACTCTGGTTTAACTGATAGAAGGCTAACATTCTAACCACTTGACCATGTATCCACATGAATGAGAGTTTAAGTAAACATTTAAGGGTTATATTCTACTCTCAATCTCCGCCTGTTTAATGCTGACACCTCCAGGACAACTATGACAACAGCAAAATCACGAATAAAAATTTGTCTTTGCACATGGCTCCATGCACCGATTGATTCATAAAACAAAGAATAAATTTAAAATTCAAATTAAGCATTGCTGTCAAAATCATAATCCAAAAAAACAGAATACTGGAATACAGGATATAAAGCAGGCCAAATTCTCAGCAATAGACAGTTATTTGCATTCTCACATGGAATTCACCACAGCATCAGTTGCCTTTGCCCTAGTACTACACTGGGCACAAACAACAAAGGGCTTAACTGAAGCCACAAATGTTAACCAGACCCCTTCTCTATACACACATTTCAACAAAGAGAGACTGACCATCGTAGGGCATTTCTAAAGCTACTTTTTTCACTTGTTTGTAGTTGTAAATAAATTTTATTTAAAATTTAGTCTTATTTTCCTTCTTGCCAACAAGGCTTTTGTTTCTTGCTACCGTATGTGTGCCTGTTTCCCCTACTACCATCATCATCTACATAACCATTTAATGGCAAAGGTCACCTGACAAAGCTCACTATAATCTATGGTTTGACCCTCCAAGCTAATGCTACCATCTGTATGACATGCACCAATTGATTCATAAAACAAAGAATAAATTTAAAATTCAAATTATCATCACAAGCATTGCTGTCAAAATCATAATAAAAAAAAAAACATTGGTAGTAGATCCAACATAATAACTGGCAATTAGTATTTTAATTACAACATTTAGTGCCACATCACCATAACATAAACAATAAACTCCTTTTTTGATATTCTAGTAATATTATTGAAACTATCAGAAAATACTGAATGGTTCACTGATTGCTTCAAGCTGGCACATCTTATTTCCTTTTTGGTTAAAATTTCTTTTTATATTTTTAATTTGTATACAGGGCTGGTGCATCTTACTCTGAAACCCTCGACTGGGATGGGCCTCATTTTGGCCTCTGCCATTTTTTTTTTTTTTTTTTTTTTTTTTCAACAATGTTTTATAGCCATCCAGCATTTTTTAAAAAATTATTTTTGAACTGACATTGCATTATCAGTCATCAACTAATGATGTATCTGCATGGCTGGTGTGGTGCATACTACACAGGAATCCCCAATGATGTTGGAGCCCCAACTGGGCTAGTTTCAGCAGTGTTTTTTTGCATTTTGTATTTTTTTACTTTTTTTCTAAGTTATATTGTCAATCATCAACTATGATAATCGACAGGGCTGATGCTTACTACCCTGAACCTTCCCCCCCGCCGTGTGGGGGCCCCGTGATTACTGAGATGGGGGCAGAAGTGCTAATTTCAGTAGTGCTTATTTTTTAAATTGCAATTACGAGGGTAATATATCTCTTTTTACATCTCTAGGAAGATAAAACCAAGAAAATGATCACTTAAAAAATAATGTTTAAAGATTTCAATGTATGAAAAATTTTCCTGAAAACTGAAATGCTGTTTTTAAAACAAATTTTTAAGACAATCCCATTTGTGTTGTATTTAAATTTTTGTAAAACTTTTCTTTTTAAGCGGAGATGCATTGGTGATTAATCTTTATGGAAATGTAAAAATTTGTGACTAAAACATTTTCTCAGTAGTAGAGAGTGGGGTCTGTATCAAAGTTCTATTTATCAAGACCCTAGTGTTGGGCCTGTTTGTATAACAGTACTTAAATAAAACAGGATTTGTATGGAATAAATATGATGGGGAATAAAGAATTAATTCCAGAAGCATAACATGACAGCAAAATAAAAAGTATTGAAGCTATGGAAATTATTTATGAAGCTCTGACAATATGATAATATGCAAAGATTGACCATAATAATAATTTTCTTTGGTACCGGAACATTTAAGACTTATTCCTAGCAGACGTCTGTCTAATTTGGATCTCTCTCTCTATCTCAGTCTTTCTTTCTCTCTCTGATATAGACACGTCCTTCTCTCTCTGATATAGACACGTCCTTCTCTCTCTGATATAGACACGTCCTTCTCTCTCTGATATAGACACGTCCTTCTCTCTCTGATATCTAGATATTTCTGTCTTTGTTTTTCTTTCTCTCTCTAATGTAGATATCTGACAGACATATATATATATATATATATATATATAAAGAGATTAGAACAAAAACGTTGAAATCATTACACAATAGCTTTTGTGTTTTTGGTACTATGTTGTGCCTTTTCAGGTGATAGTAAGTGACTGGTAATTAAATGATTTTTAAGAAAATTTCAAAAGCAAAGTGTTACCCCTTTTTTCAAAAGATGAAAGGCAGGGTGAAGAATCACAAGGTTAGAATTAAAAATAGATGTGGGTTTGCTTTGATCAACCAATCAAGTGTCAGATCAATGCTAAATAGAAAATTAAGCTCAGAGGGTGGATTTGTGGGGAGTTATTTTTTCATGACATGATAAACCAGAACTTAGACAGGTCATCATTGATATTTGAGGAAAACATGCAAGCAATAAATATGTCGGGATTGTAGACAAACGTGGCATATTCAATTTTTCAAAGGATGCTGAAGTGTATGTATGTGTGTGGGGGGAGGAGGATAATCATACATAAAGTTAATTTCAACAGAAAAAAAATCTTTAAAAATTTCGGATTCAGGAAACTTCTTAAAGGAATCTGTAGATAAAATTAAAAATGTGGAACATCTATATAAGACATTAATAATACTAACTGGACAGCAATACATAGCAATACTAAATCCAAATAAAAAAAGTAAAATAATTACTCATAGATGGCGGACCGTTACTTACTTATTAATTATGGCCATAAGAAATGGTACTACTTAATTTTTAAAATTTAACCTTATTGTAAGGTAAAAGATAAACTGTGTTGGCAATTTACAGTTAATTCACTTTGGTTTAATAGAGATTTTTTATCAGCAAATCTGATAATTTCTAGTTTCTCATGTAAGCATAAGAAGCAAGATTCATTTAAAGATTTACAGGATCTAGCTATTTTTAGTATTTTCCATTTTATCGTAAGGGTTTTGATAACTTCCTTTTAAGTTTCAAAAATTTTTGAAAGGCATTTCATATTTTTATAAACGCCATTGGTGAAAGAAATATGTTAATTCCATCTAGTTTTAAAAGAACTCTTGGTGCTCACAATATAAAATTTTTTAATTGTCAGATTTTCTATAGTAGAAATAGTGTGTAGGTAAACAAGAAAGTCAGTTTGACATCGGTTTTACAATGGGCATTCGTTAGAATTTCTACAATTACACTTTTTGATAATATCAGTGTTTGTTGCTTTGGAATGGCTATTATTACTCAGGTTTTTGTATTGGTTTAAAATTTTTATGTTTTTTTAATAATTTTTTCAAGATTATCGGTACAGCTATAGCTTAATTTTAGTGTATTTCTGTTAAATATTTTACTGAGTTTGATTATGGATTCCATCTGTATACAAACACATACCCTCTTCTATAGAATATAGGATTAGCAATAACTCTTTTACAAGCATATTAAAGTTTACAACACTGCCTTAAAAAATAGGGTCTATAAGTGCTCCAACATCAAATATTTAAAACATAACAGCAGTCATAGGAATAGAAACAGGAAAATCATTTGGTACAGACCCCCATTTAACCAAATGGTTAGTACTAAGTTAGGGCAGAAGTTCCTCCATTTAATTGATAAATACTTCCCCAGAAATAATCCACTCAGTAAAATTTTTATCAGAAATATACTGGCTTTGTTCTCAGCAATCATTACATATGATGTTACATTAGACCATTTCAAACTTTTAGGTTCCCAAAGAATACCAGGATGTAGAATTCTAATTAGCACATTGGTTCTTTCTAATGGCTGCAATGGTCTAAAGTACTCAAATAAAACAATAACAAAATATGAACTTTGGACAGTTTATCCACAACTTCAATAACAATACTCAACACCTTTTCCAAAGATTGGAAAAATATGAAGATTTTAAGGAGACAGACCTTGTTGGTTCTTTTTAATCAACGATCTTTCAGATAGAAATAATTACTTACTTCTCTTACCAAATAAACTTACCGTTTCGAACGATGTCTCCCAGGAGAATTTTGTACAGCCATTTGCTGTATTAACATTAACACTGGAAGGAGTTGACCACTGGTTAAAACCTTCAAAAGGATCTGTCCGAGTGCCATTAGTTGGTAAAATAGTACTGCTTGGACAGACAAATGGATCAGACTGACCTTTGTCAACCTCTTGTTTTGTTTGCATAGAGATTACAAAAGGATCAGCTTGTACATTGTCTGATTTTAGTTGCGTACTGCAAGGAATCACAAAAGGCTCTGTCGTCTGATTTGTATCAGACTTCAGGGTGGTTGCGGGAGGCAGAACAAAAGGGTCAGGCTGAGCACTATTAAGCTGCAGTTTAGTTTGAGAAGGGACAACAAATGGATCGTCAGCAGACACAGAGCTTGAATGCGATTTAGCAAGAGAGGGCACAGCGAACGGGTCATTTTCGACTTTATCTAACTTTTGTTTAAAAGGTGCAGGAACCACGAAAGGATCATCCACTTGAGCTGGATTGCTACTTGAACTAGCATTAGAGGAAGTAGTTGTAAAGGGATCAGTCGGAGGAGATTCTGAATTTGTCTTACTTGAAGTTGTGACGAAAGGACCAGACTTAGTGGGGAAAGGATCAACAAAGTCTACAGCTGTGCTTTTGGGTGAGGGAGACACTGTGTTTGTCAAAGAAGGGCTTTGCATCGTCTTAACTACGAATGGATTGTTGTCTGGCCAAGAACTCACACTGCTTGCACGTGTAGCTGTAGATGTCACAGGGAAGAAATCTCGACCACTGGACAAACTCCGATTGCTACTAGGTGAATAGGAGTTTTCATTTTCTGCGAATGTAGACCATGGCTGTGGGGAATTATTGTTGTTTGTTGTGTTGTCTAAACTGAAACCAGGAGAAATAGATGAAGCTTGGAACACACTGTCAAATTTGGTGCTATCAGCCCAAGCAGAAGAGTGGCTCAAATTAGAAATGTCTGAAGCAGGTGAGGAAGGAGAGAAGACAGAACTGCCAGCAAGGCCACTGTCTGCCCGTGTCATACCATCCTGTGAAATGGTCGATGGCACAGGCGAATTTGACTTTCCCATACTCTGGAGACTGGAGCTTGATGACAAATTACGACGTGGCTTTGGTGGGGGAGGTTTTGGAAGCTTGGATATTTCAGAAGGTCTAGGTCTGGGGGGAGGTGCTGGCGCTTGTGATGCCAGACTAAGCATTGTCTCTGATGGCAGAGGTGGAGGAGGCACAGCAGGAGCTGGCAAGTTAAAGTCCTCTTCATCATCTGACAGAGTTGTTGCTTTTTGGTCGGGTGCAGAAGAAGAAGAAAGAGGGCTGGTTTCAGGATCAGGGCTTGTAGCCATAGCAATGGATGGTGGCAATGGAGGTGGAGGATGGGATGGAGCTGGATGGCTGAATTCGATCTCTGATGGCTCGGGGGTAGTAACAGCGTAAGTCACCTCCGTTGAATGGTTTCCACTGAAACTGAATATGCCCGATGACCGAGAAGAGCGATGTCCGGGTTTTTCCGGATAAAAAGCAGGATCTGCTGGTAGCATGGGAGATCTGGAAGGTTCTGGGAGTCGTTTTGGATCACAAAGCAGATCGTCAGATGGACCAGCTGAAGGAATTGAAGCATCACTTGCCTGGAATGGAGTCATGGTGAAGACATCATTTGGCAATGGCGATGGGGTGCCCACTATTTGTGTTGAGGCAGCTGCAGTGTTCTGTTGTTCCCTCGTTTGTTCCTTTTCCTGTCGGAGCTCATTTATTTTCTTAACAGGAGGCTCCAAGCGAGGAAAAAGTTCAGCAGGTTTTTTGTGGGGTTGTTTACTACCAAAATTGCACAGATCTTCAAACAGGTTCTGTGACAGATTAGTGCCAGCAGTGGTCGGAGATGCAATAGAGAGTTCTCCTGGAGCACCAGCACCAGGAGAGACATTCAGGGCAGCAGCATTTGAGGGGCTGTGTGTGCCTGGGCTTGGTAAAACCTGATCCTGGAGTGAAAATGTATTTGGTAATGTTTGTTGTTGCCCAAAGCAGGAATTGAAAGCGCTTGGATTGGCGCTATTAAATGTGTTGTCAGCAGAAAAGGCATCAAATTTGTTGGGGCTATTTCCATGGCTGTTTCCATGAAGGCTTCCTGATGAGGAGCTAGATTGAAATGCTGGAGGTGTCACTGCCTGTGTTGGAAATGCAGCAAAAGTTGGCTGCACGTTAGGCTGTACGAGGAATGGCTGTGAGGCAGGCATTGGCGTGGTCAGCATGGAAACCTGGGTTGGTGTATTGGAGAAGAGGTTGTCACCAAACGGGTCTGTTACAACTGGAAGAGCACAGTTTGGACTGGTGGGCAGCTGAAATGAAGAACAAAATTTTCTCTAAAATAAAAAAAGAAGTTGGTAGATTTTAAAATATTCACCATCACATGTAATCAACTGTCTTTTGAAGTTGTTTCTGATATCTAATCTATATTATAAAATAAGAGCTGATTCTCTGTCTGTCATTCATGATCTTTGTCTTCATGTGACTTTTCATGTGCGTATGTAATTTATATGCATAGGTCTGTTGTGCATGAATGACAAATAGGTTCTTGTGCCATTTAATATTAATAGAAGCACATACATACATACATACATACATACATACACAATTTGAATAAGTTTGGAATAAGAAACTGGAAATAATACAGTCCTCTCCCACTTAGTCTGGAAAACCCTTATACTGGATGGAGCATTAAAATCAGATTTGAAGACCCAAAGAAAATTTTTTTATTTCGTTTTTTTGTTTTTTTTTATTTTTAAAACCATTAATGGTTTTTATTTAATTTTTTGAAAATTATTCAGTAACAAATAGAATATTTGAAATATTTTAAAAATATTTTTTATTTATTTATTCAGGTCAGTCATTGAATTAAAATTTACATGTTCTTTGCAAACATACAGAATTTGAATGAAATTGAAATGGACACTTGTGTCACAAGGGTTAATTTTTACTTTTGTTTGGTAAACCCCCCCCCCCCGAAAAAGAATATAAGTCTCAATGTTCAGTTGGAAAGTCTTTAACTGTAGTGTTTTCAATAGACAAACAATTTAGATGTGAAATTGGATCACCTTGCCATCAGTAAAGTGACGAGTACTAAACAAGTTATTATACACTTTTTATATAAGAAAGCTTATCATGTGAGAGGTGTACATTTTTGCACTGGTGCCAGGTGTTTGGACCCAAGTAAAAGCCAAGATTTTAACTGCCAATTTTTCAGGACAAAGGGACCTTCTGAAACTTAGAACTCAACTTTCCTACCAACTCCCTTGTTCTTTAATATATCTTAGTAATCAGGAGTAGAAATAAATTTAAATTTTTACCAATGATAGCTTTTGTTCTATTGTACATATTTTTTACATCTCTTCTAGAACCCAGTGGATGTGTGGGTGGTGTAATGGATAGTGGCTTGGAATGAAAAATCAGAATAGAGTTTGAATTTCAGTCAGTTTTTTTTTATATCCATTTACACACAAATACTCTTGGGAAAGGTGTAAAACCATCTCTTCTCCACAGTTATGGATTAAATAGTGGGACTTGTACAGGGTGTTTGAAAAGTCACTATGCACTTATATTTTTATGCAATTTACTATTATCTTTTAGTGAGTTTAAATTCAATGCTTACGATTATAGCAAATCTTTATGTACTAGAATTTTTTTTGCAACACACTGATGTGTGTTAAAATCCTCACAGTATTTAGTATTGTTGAAGTTATTGATAACATTTTTTGCTGAGATTTACAAACTGTTTCATTCAATTTTACAAACCAATTGATGAAATTTGAATAAAATGGTTTTGTTTGGAAAAATACTTTGACAAAACCCCTATTTTGTGGTTTTTACACACCCTAGTAAAACCAAACTGTACTTTATAGCCCCTTACCTGCTGGCACATCTTCCCAAAATTTTGTTTTGATTGGTTGATGTATGGCTATTTTAGATGGTTTGAGGATGGACAGACTAACAGAAGCCACAGAATTTTATATATAGATAGATACAATACATGCATATGGAAATGGAAATTGTAGTATAAATGAAACTATATAGATTATCTACAGAAACTTTTTATTTTCTGTCTGATACTATGGACCCCCAGATAGAAAGAGAAGTACTTTTATCTCAATCTCAAGTGTTTCAGTTTAATGGACCAGTGAATGGTTCCTTTTGAGGTTCAGTCTTCTAAGCAGTATTCGCTTTGACCGAAGGGTAACTCTAAGGTAAAAAGATGTATGAAGGGTTTTGTTGATCAAGTGGCAACAAACCTAGGTGCTTGTCTGTATTGCCATACTTGGGATTGGGGAGAGATCTGGTCTACCCTTGGTGGGAGATGGATGAGTGAGAAGTTGGTAGTGGTAAGAGAGATGACATAGCAGAAGTTGTCCCAAATATCACATATCTACCAATTCAGATGAGCAGGTGAAGTCCCGACTAAAACACCTACATATAATATGGAAACGAGGTTTGCAGTCTTATTTCTTGATATGGCGTTTTTTTACTTTCATTTTGTTACCTTGTGAACATGCAGTGCAATCTTTCTCAGCTTTCAGTACACACCGCCGAGAACAAAAATCCAAATGCAACATGGGATGATCATTGGCTGGTGAGTGGAAATCTTGGGTGAGGTTGTGTTTTATGTTTACATATGAAATATTTTAAGCTAGACATTACATAGTGTCCAAAAAGGTTTGTGAAAAGATATATATATATTTTTCTTTAAGGCAAAATATTTTAGTTAGATTTTGGCAGGAAGCTACATGCAGACACAGGGTTCCTCCAATGGAATCAATGGCTACATGTCTGTGACCAAGGAAAGCCTCCAACTATGAGGACATCAGTAATTTGGATCTGAAAGGGCTCCTCTAGTCTAATTCCCTAAGACATACTATGGATGGATGATTACTTTTAATCCAGATATTGGTCCATAATAGAAGCATGTGAAAGGCACTAGTCAATTAGTGCAGCAACCCTATGACTATATCCAGTCATGAAACTGATGATACATGTTTTTGAAAATCTAATGAGGAACGAGTTTACCTTCAATACCCATTTAGCTTAAAATAAGACTCATCTCTGTGGTAACAAAATAGTTATTCAAAATTATGGTTTCTACTTGGGCTCAAACATTGGCTCTTTATGCCAGTGGAATATATGTAATTATTCCTGTCACAAGGTAAAATTAATATAATTACCTTTTGTTATATGGAAAATTATGAAAATGTAAACATCAAGAAGAACCAAAAATTGAATAACTTGTCAATTATCTCAAATATGAAAATAAACCAACACCAACCTTTGGGGATGATTGCATGATGATCTGATTACCAACAACTGTAGAAGTAAAAGGGGGTGAAGCAGCAGCAGCTGCTGCTGCTGCAGGTAACACGGGGAACATTCCAGAAGGCATGGCGGCTCCGGGAGAAGCCACTGGAGGAAAGGCACTGGAAACTGGCATAGGAAAAGCTGCTGCAGCAACTTGAGGACTGATGGAGCCACCTGGAGACTGCTGGCCCACTGTTGACAAAAGTAAAGAACCACGAGAAGTATTTCCAGAGTTAGAGCGAACAACTGGAGGAGGTGGTTGCAAAAGTGGGCTAGGAGTCTGGCAGGCTGATCCTGGTTGGTTGTTGACATTCCATGGATCTGCATTGTCCTGAGCGGCTGCTGCAGCCGCTAAAGGGCTGTGGGTAGTTGAGTGGGCCAAGGCATTTCCAATTGAATCCATACCCTAAAAATTAGATGGTAAATAAGCAAGAAAAGAAAAAAATTAAAGGTAAATCAAGTTTATTAATGAAAAAAATGTAAACATGATGTACATATGACGGGATACTGAGAAGTTCTCAGTCCAACTAAGAAGGCCTTGTAAAGAAAATTGCTGCTTTTGTCACTTGGTCAGGCTGAGAACTTTTCAGTAACCTCTGATATATATATATATTGAGCTTTTCTTTAGTCAAATATATTGAAAACTCTCTCTCTATCACACACACACACACACACACAATCTCAAAACTATTCAATCAATACAAATATTTGTATACACACAGACATACATATACAGGGTGATGGATAAATCATATTTTATATTTTTAATTTTGTGCATATGCATCATTTGTTAGGCACAGTCTGTGAGAAAAAGAGCACCATGATGTAATTCACTCTGCCAGAAATTTGGAAATGGCATGCTGTACTGCTTGGTATTAATGCCGGAAGCCCCAATATGAAAATTTTAGAGTGTTTGAATGTCAATCTGAGTACAGTGCAGAGAATTTAGAAAGAGTTGAAGGAGTCTAATAATGATTACAAGGATAATGGCAGCTTGGAAAACTCATTCTGATAAGAAAAGAACCCCTGAATTTGTTGATGAGATCCAGGCCATGATTAAAAACTATCCCCCTCCAAATTGATCAGGTCCATAGCCAAGAGGGTGGCTGCTGAGACACCCTATGTCTGGCAACAGGACTCTGGACCATGCCACACAAGCAAGAGAAACAAGTCATGGTTGTCAGACAATTTCTGTGACCGCATCACCCCTTACATCTGGCCGCCAAACTCCTCAGACTGCAACCCTCTTGGTTATTATGAGTGGGGAATAGTTGAGCAAGAGACCAACAAAACTCCTTGTAACATCAAAGATGAACTGAGGGCAAGGATTATGGCAGCATTCACCAACTTAAACAAAGATACTGTCCAGGAGAGTTGCAGGAGATTCCAAAGTGGTTTGGAGGTTGTAGTTGAAGCAAGTGATGATTTTTATTGAATAAATTTAGCCTTTAGTATTTCAAGGTATTTTGTGTAACTTTGGGAAATATATCTGTTAAAATGAGATATCAGTGTTATATTTATTCTTGTGTAATTTAGATGACAATTTATCCAGTGTACTCTGTATGCATGCATGTATGTATGCATGCACATTATATATATATATATATATATATATATATATATATATATATATATATATATACACACACACCTCATTAAATAATTCAGACACGTTTTGTCTACTTACTTTTAGTACTTCTACAATTTTTAAATATTATGTAGAAACATATGCAAACGTCAAGGGAGGTAACTAAGATATTTCAATAACTAAATATTTAAAAAACAACACTCTGATGACAACATTGTGTTAATGTCCAAAGTACTCAGAGTTGAATATACATCAACATAATAATTTTCTTCCTTTAATAAGGATATTAAGAAACTTGTCTGTAATTATGAGAGGATCCTATCAAAAATAAGTAGACAAAACTTACCTAAATTATTTAACAAGACATGTCTTAATATATATGTGTATGTATGTATGTATGTATGTTTCATTTACATGTAGGAACACAGCTTTTTAAAAATCTTACACATACATTTAAAAATGGGCTATCCTGTTATTTTCAGTGTATAAGGGTACAGCAGTTCAGTTTTAGGGACTGAACAGTCAGATTATTCACATACTACTTGTTTATGGTGATAAAGACTTGTGTAGAACCAACCACACTTTTTGGTGGAACTGAATACAGAGAACTGGTGCACACTGCCACAGGGCCCCCAAATGACCTTCCTCAAGTTTGGAATTCAAAGTTATCCTCCTTCTAGACTGGTTGTTAATCAAAGCTAAAGAGACCAGTCTGTCCTAAACCATTATAGATATATATATATATACCTATGTTTGAAGTGCAACTTTAGTTTTGTTGTTTTACCATCTCATTAGGCATGAATTATTATTTATGGCCAGGTAACTCATTTACTTAACGAGTTATCCAGCGTTCCTCTTAAAATTTAAGCTTGCATTTTTTTTTTTTTTTACAATGCCGCTCCCCCACCTACACCCTATTTTCTGTATTTACACTCCAATATCATATTTAACTTATTTTAAATCTGAGCTGTGAATCTGCATGTAATTTAGTGTTACACTCATGAGACCCAGTATGTTTTTAAAAAAAAAAAAAAAAATGTCATATGTAATAATTCATGTCTGATGAGCTGTAAGAACACCGAAACTTAAGTTGCATTTTGAATGTAGGTATATGTATATTTATTAATATATATTTCTTATCTCCATCTAACCACATTGAGCACTGTTTTGTTTACACCTTAAAGTAAATTTAGTGAATATTTGGTTACCTGTATATGCATGCTAATGTGTATATGCAGTTGCTGATATCTAGTTATTTGATTTACCCACCGGTATACATATAGACTGGATGTCAACTAATGCTAAAGAACCCAGTCTGTCTTATTATTTATATATAGAGAATACATATTTTCTATGAAATTTCTTAAACATTCAGGCTAGTAAATGTAATTAATATTGTTTAATTAAAAAAAACAAAATATTTACTTAAATAAATTGTATCTATAAAAATAACATATAAACAGAATATATATATATATATATATATATATATATATATATATATATATATATATATATATATATATATATATATATATTATATACAAAATACATCTCACACACTCAAATGAGGGGAGGATGCTGGCCAGTTTTTGGCTTGATTAAGAAGCCTTTGAATCTAAAAGAAAAAAAAACACCAAATTTTGGGCAGTGTATCAATTGAGAACTTTTCAGAATCCCTTCACATTTAATGTGTGTATTTACTCAGTCTGTTATCAACAAGGAAATATGGCAGTACAGTTTTCCGTATAACATGCTTTTCAGAATGAAATCAAAGATTGAGAACTGAGGAAAACAATGAATTCCTCCAGTCCCCAGACATTCAATCATAGCTCCTGTCAGCTGAACTTGTCTGCTTGGCCTCATCAGAGAGAAATGTCCCTGAAACAGATGTGGAAGCCACTGCTAAATGTTTGCAAAGCAAAGCCATTAGCTATATAATTTCTCTTGGCTTCTATAAATTGCTTCTTCACCAATTAGTTTGACTTTTACAATTTTAATATTGTTACTCACATTAAAAAAAAAAAAAAAAAAACAAATTGAAATGAAGAAAACTTCACATTTAAGCAGTAAAGAAAAAAAACTGAAAATAGTTCTTTTAAAAACCATTTTTTTTAAAGAAGATTGAAGAATATCATCATACATAACAACAACAAAATCTATTAGAAACAAGACACATGCTTAGTTGTTATAAAGACAAAGGTGTAGCCAGCCAAAATGCAACAAGACAAAAAAAAATGGTGGATGGGTAAATGATTTTGAAATCATGCTTTTCAGTCAGGGATTTTACAATCAGATTTTTGAAAATTACTGAAGAAATGTTCAGCCTTTCTGAATTGGATAATATCAGTATGATTAAAGAGATTTCAAAAGGCACAAGTGGAAGTAATACTTATTTGGTCAAAAACTTTGAAGTAATACTAATTTTTATAATCTATTCTGTGGTTAATTAAAAGGAAAAATGCTTATAAAGTTCCTCTTCAGGAATCTTTTGTCTTCCATCCATAAAACATTGAAACCCCAGATCTCCTATGATCATTGAGGTCAAACAACATTGAACCTGGTCAGTACCTAGATGAGTGACAGCTTGGGAATACCAGGTACTGTAAGATTGGATGTGCTGGTAGTATAATGGATAACAGCTTGGAGTTGGAAATCAAAGAGCCAAGTTCCAATTCCAGTCTGATTCATTATATTCACTTATGTGTAAATACCTTTGGGAAAGTTATGAATCCACCTTTTCTCCCCCCCTCCAGCTATGGGTTAAATAGTAGGACTTGTATCAGTAAATCATTATCATCTCCAAAAAAATCCTCACAATCTGAAAATATTTTTTGGCTTTAACTCCTGCTCTGGTGTGGACGTGTATATATGATTTTTACCGAAAGTGTCTTTTTCAGACATGGATGAATAAACACATGTAAAACATAATGTTTAAAAACCTGCTACAGTTGTGTTTATACATCAATTTTGATTCTTTTTATGCCCTTCTGAGCTTGAAATGAGTCCAATTGTACATTCATATGTCTGGTGTTAGGCACAGCTCAGGTGCTTCAGGTACCTCAGTTTCTTAGTATTAAAAACAAATAAAAAAAATTAATCTGAAAATGAAACATTTTTCCCAAAATTATTGATGGGGAAGGGGTTAAATAACCTGCAAAATGGTGATAAACCATAAAAAACAAATCAATGAAAAACATTCAGAAATCTTTTCTTCACATTATCAACTTTTAACATTAACAAATTTTTAAAATTATTTTTGGATAATTGGGTTTCTATAAAGTAGGTGTTGAAAAGTTCTCAGCCAACCTACATTCCAAAATCAGTTTCCAATGTCCAAAATTTAAAACTGGTTTTCGGGAACAAGGTTAAGCCAAGAAATTTTCAGCATCCCACCATTGTATATCTTTATAAGCCATTAATCTTTGAACTTAGGCTTATCCAGTGACTCCAATTTAAAAAACCCCACTTTCCTGTCACTATGGTAAGGAAAATGTGTAAAATTGGGTATAGTACCGTTGTTGACACTATTGTAGTTGCCTATATAAGTCCTGGTGGTCCAGGACTCAAAATGAAGATGGTTAGCCGAAAAAACATTCAATTTAAAATGACATATCATTTTAAAAGTTAACTGCATCTTCTCTAATGAGTTAGAAATATAGTGTAACTGGAGTAAACATTTCATAATGAAATTTCAATTGTAAATTTTGGTCTTCTTAAAGGGAGATAACTTTACACATTTATCTAATGCTTATTACTGTGTAGAATGGGGATATTAAAACAACATTCAATATACACATGAGAAGGATAATGATGGT